TGTCCAGGTGAACCTGCCTTCACCCTGAGTCAGCTGGGATAGACTCCAGCCCCCCATGACCCTAGTGAAGATAGATGATGGATGGATGGATGGATGGGTAGCTGGGGCACTGGGTGGATCTACATATGTGGGTAGGCTGGTACAGGTGAGCAGGCACCCAGGAGGGCTCATGGGTTTTTAACAGGGCAAGAGAGACGGCAGGAGCCATTGTTCGTTTGCTTGCAATCAAAGAAACTTTATATTTCTGCCTGGACAATGGACTTAGTTTCACTGTGTAAATTTATCCCCCATGTGCCTCAGTGGCCATTTGATTTGATTTGATTTTGTTTTAGTTTTTTGGATTATCCATCTCAGGACAGATCTACAGCTATCGTTTCATGTCACCTCACTTTAGGGTTATTCTGTCAGATGAGCAGAAGCCTTCGACTCAGCCATCTCCACACTATGAATATTTAAATTGCTATCTCTCTCTCGATGTATTGAACGCCTTCTGAGACATTTTATTCTTAAACTGCACGTCGACCCACTTTCAGCACGTTTGTTCGCGTGTTGAACTTCGAGGCCGCGTTGGAACGCCGACATCTCAGGAAGCGTTTGATAAAAGCAGCACTGGACAAGCAGCTCCAACAGTCTGTGATTACAGGTGAGTAGAAATATGAGAAGTAATTAAAGCTGCTCCTCCCGAGTACAGTTAAAGATTGATGCGTATTAAATCGGTTTACACGCGGTCGGAGAGCCGTAAACTTTTTGATGACAGAAGAAGTTTGAGAATCACAAGACTTTACTGTTAAACTGATGCACCGGCTGTTGTTCAGCTTCCTTCTGTCTGTGCAGGTGAATTGCTGCATTTTTCCAGGTTTTGAATGACCTCACAAGACCCACGGTTATAACTTGTGACTTGATTTTTTATTTTTTTAATCTCTAAACCCTCTTTGCTGGACAGGAAGTCAATGAAAAGCATCACAGATATTCACATCCGTCCCTCAGTCATCGGAATGATCAGTCGGTCGGATGTTTCATAGTGAAGCTTTATTGAGTTCATTCAAGGCCCCAAATATTGATCATACTTACTTTAAATACTCGTCATTCACAGACTGAAAAAAACACAAAGTTCCTTCAACAGAAAGAAGAGAGACCATCCAAAAATAGCAAAGCAGTCGACGGCGCTATAAACAAAGAAAAGCCTTTGATCAATAAAACAAAGATGCATTAAACAGTCTCAGTTATAAATATAAAGTTGAACGATTATCAGAGGCACAGACGAAATAAAAAAAATCATAGAATTCATAAAAACAACTTGATGCTAATGTAAAAAAAAAAAAAATCTAATATCACCCTTAAATATTAGGAGCTTGTTCAGGCTTTAATGTTTTTTTTTTTAAATATTTCGCTTGATTTGCTGCATCACATCCAAACACTGGATCATAAACTCTTTGGCCTCAAACGTCATCAGCTCCAAACAGAAATGAGTTAGAGGCTGTTTGAAAGTGTCTAACGGAAGATAAACGGGACAAAATTAGTAAACATGCTGTGAAATCGCTGTAGTTTTGATTTGCGAGCAGATAAGAACTTTACGTAAACTTTTTAGACTTTATCTCAAACTACCAGGTGAACAGTTTTGTGTAAGATTCAAGCTTCACCCACAAGAAGGAAGAAAACATCGAACAGTTGGAAAGATTTCAATGAAATCAGACCTCGTTTCTGATGGTCGATATATTTACACGCAGAAATGTCCTCGTTTTCGTCGCTAGTCGTTCCCAGAGAAACATTTAGGGAGACGTCAGTATACAATCCAGTGATTTTATTTCATCGGAGGCAGTCTCACTGTTTAGGTTTCACTCAGCTGCTCTTCAGACAAGAGCTGGATTTAGTTATTCCAAATATAAAACAACATATTCGTCACTGTGGTTGGCATAAATGTGTAAACAAAACGTTTTCATTTGCAGATTATTGTAAGTTTTTGGTTGAATCAGGTTAAGCCGACTGATTGGCTTCTTCATTAAACTGGCTGCTCTGTAAACAGACACACCAGCCGCTCCTCTGTTGTGTCTCCTGAAGTCGAGGAGTGTTCGCTGGAGTAAAAAAAAACGGGCTCGCTGTTACCATGGTAACTGCAGGTGTCGCCAAACCAACCGGGACTGAAACCTTGAGGGTTACAACTTTAGAGGACGCAGAGAGAGCCGAGCGGGTTGTGAGTGATGTTGTGTCTCTGCAGTGGTTCTGTCTCCCAGCTCCTCACCGCCTCTTCAGCCCCACCAGTTCTTCAGTCTGGGAGGTGGAGCCGTCGTGGGCGACGCCACGTCGAAGACCGACCCCTGTCCCACCGACGAGCAGACAAAGTAGAGGTTGACGGCCAGCATGGCCAGGATGGGGAGGAAGGAGAAGCCGAAGCCGAGGCCCCGGATGCTGCTGCCCAGAGAGAGGCAGAGCCAGTAGATGAGCCTGCAGGACAACGAGAGGCACGTTTACAACCAGCTGGATAAATAACCACATCTGATCACTACACATATCAGCCCACTCCCACATGAGACGGCTTAGCTCCTCCAGGCCTTTCATCAGTTCTTCTATCAAGAGCTTGATGACTCAAAGCTGCATTAATCACTTCATAGATTTCTTTTTTTTTTTTTAAATATAAAAAGCTTGTCCTAATTCTCTCTCATCGTGATTCTTTCAGATCCTGCACTGATTCTAACTGATGCCGAGTCTCAGTAACGGAGCTCCAAGGCCTCGCTGTTAGTCACCAGATAGAAGTATTGTTGGCACAGAAAAAAATAGAAAATATATTCAAATCAAATACAATGCTTTTACATAGCACGTTTAAAACAACCTGATGTTGTCAGACAGGAAGCAACCAAATTATGTGCAAAAGACAGGACAAAAATTAATTAGTAAAACAAACACAACAGAATAAAATACTCAAGCAGCAACTAAAATACAAGTGAATATGAAATAATAAGACCATTAAGAACAGCCGAAAACAAGCACGTCTTCAGGTTTTTCTTGAAAGTATCTACAGAGGAGATAAACTGGATTGAAAGGAGTTTTGGAGCTACTATTGCTAAGGCTTGATCCGTCCCATCACAGCATAAAGCAGCGGTTCTGAGGCTCTAAGAGGCCTCGAAGTAAAGCAAAGACGTTCTGAAATGTACCCAGGTGGCTTCGTAATAAGACAACCTGAACACCAGTTGTGTGTTTAACAGGCGACTGGTGCAGAGGTGCTTGTACAGGTGTGATGCTTTCTGTTTATTTGGTACCAGTTCCAGGTCCAGAGAGTTACAGTGATCTGACCTGGAGGAGATAAATGCAGCAGAAGCCTTCAGGTCACGGAGACAGAGGATGGATTTCAGTTTAATAGAGTTACTCAGCTGAAAGAGGCATCATTTCAGAGTGTAAATAATTCAAATGAGTTATTAATTATGATTCCAGAATGAATCTGGAGTAAAAAGGTTCTGAAACGGGGTCTCAACAATCGTATTTAAGACGTACTGTTGATCACGTTGAAACCAAAATCATTTAAAGTTGCTCCTTAGAGTGAAAAATCCAGAGAGTTGAAGGTTTGGGGCAGAAGCGAACTGGGATAAAGGCGCTCGTTTTCAGACAATCCCTCCAGTGGGGATGTTGTTGCATTGGGTTTAAAAAAAATTAAAGAAAATTATATGATAAAGAGTTAAAGAGAAGAGTTCAGTGCTGGTCTCTCTCATCTCTGCACAGCAGGACCATCACAGCGTAGAGCGGCTTCATAAAGCCACAGATAACAGGCAACACGGAGCCTCCAGAGGGGGTTTCCAACACACAGCAGATAGATACAGAGCCTGGACATTTTTATATTCTTTTACTAACACGGTACACGGTGGACCACCCAGAAATCTAAATGAAGCTCAGAAATGAAGTTCATAGAAACCTGGTGTCACCCTGGGTCTGTCCTGAAGTCCTCAGGACGCTTTTTATCAAACTAATGATGCAAACGATCAACTAAACGGTTCTGTCCTGCACCTTTTCCTCCTCCTACTCCAAATATGTTCCTTTGATGCTTAACTCTGCAAACGTGCAAATAAAAGAGCGACTTTTAACTGGACATGTAGCCGAACGAGTGATGAGACAAGTTCAACCAGCTTATGAGGCGTATGAACGACTGTTTTAACCATCCAGCAGCGTGCAGGCCAAATCCAGCAGATCAAAGTTACAAGAGGAAGGAATGTGTTGCGAAATGAGTTAAACATTCACCTTCATTATTCAGATAATATGCTTAGTGTGGGGACATGTTTTAATCAGTCCTGATAACACGTGGTTGACTCGTCTGGCAGCGTGAGGTTTAGTCACGCTGACTGAACAAAGTGTATTCCGTCCAGAGGTTGCTTTTTTTTTTGTTTTCTTTGCAGTTCGACAAGGAAAAATGTAACCTGACTCATTAACTTCACTCCTTCATGTAACTGAAGGCAGCGTGTAGCTCTGCAGACGACAACGCTGCACCAACAGTGACTCGATTGTAGTGAAGACATCTATCTGCTCTGGACACGCAGTCATAACTTCACAACCTACGCAAATATTGACACAATCCAAAAGGTGCACAGCTCATTTCCTTCATACCTCTGGAGTCAAACCAAACACTGAAGTCATTGTGGTAGCGATTAAAAACCTTTAGAATTCACTGGTGGAGATGTGGAAATAAGATCACGTTTGAGGTTGTTGGGTTTTTTAAACGCACTCACTAAAGCCTTGTTTATAGACACAGACATTTGTTTGCGGTGTTGGATTAATAATGGCTTCAAGTGTGAACATGTTTGTGTTGATTTTCCTTCTTGTATTTGTCCTTGAATCACTCAGGGGTTTCACATTTGGTCCTAAAGCTGCTTATGTTTTTATGCTTTAAGTCAATATTTTACAGCTTTAAATATGTTCTATGTAATATAACGTGTTTGGCTCGATTTGTGATAGCAAAGTAGAATAATGTTCAGATCCACTGTCACACATCAGAGGCATGTTGAAGGGTTAGTGAGGTTACTAGAGGTCACTCTGGGTTTTAGGACGACAACAGTACCCCACTTCTTACCGTGTACGTCTTTATGCTAACTTGTGCTGCACACCTAACCTTCAAGATAACAGATCAAGACACATTAAAAGCTCTACTGATCAGTCAGTAGCACCACTATTCCTGGTTCCGAGGAGCTCAGTGTGCAGATTATTCTTCTTTGTAGAGCAATTTATCTTAAAACAGAAACTGGTGAAAACACCAACACCTTACTTGTTGACATAAGATAGCAGTAAGCCTACTAACAGGTGTGAATTATGTCTTTTTATTTGTTCTTTATTTGCTCCCAAAACCAATTGAACAACAGCAGGCTTACAGCTGAACATGCTGCAGGAATGAACTCATCCCTCAGACAGTCCCTTGAAAGTACGTTTTTCATTACTTGATCATTTTTTCGTTTAGCCTTTTCCGTGAGAAACCTAAAGGGACGGTTTCTGTAATTTATTTGCACAGTCCCGTGTTGCATAATAATTAACTTGAATCTGGGATAAGACACGTCTCAGCAGCCTGCACACATTGTGATTTCAGGTCCACCTTATCATGCTTTAGTAATGAGGCGGTGATATTGATAAGCCCGTTAACTTATCAATTTACACAGTTGCCAGTGTTTGCCAGCTCTCCCTCATGACTTTGGCAGTGGTGGCTGTGTTTGATTTATTTTTAAACTCCTCGTGTGGGTTTGGGATTAAAGTGAGGGATGCCCCAATCAGTAAAGGAGCTCTGAGACAGAGACGAAGAAATGAAGCTAGAATAAACTATCCTGGTATTCCTACAGCTGACGGCTGGTTGTGCAGCTTTTAACCACAGCTCTCTGTGACAATAGATGTAAACAGAGGATTGGCTGTATGTCAATACTGATCAGTTAAAATTCCAGTTGTCTGCCCCAATCACGCTTCTTGAGTGCTTTTTTAAAGATATTTTTTGGCCTTTTTTGGCTTTATTAGATAGAACAGAGACAGGAAAGTGGGGGAATGACTTGCAGCAAAGCGCCATGAGCAGGACTCAAACTCATGACCTCCACATCGGGGACTACAGCCTCTATACATGGGACGCCAGCTCAACCAGGTGAGCTATAACGGCGTCCGAGTGCAAGACATTTCTAATGAAAACAGATTCTTCTTGTGTGGAGCATGCAGCTCTACACCTGATCACATTTGGTCATCAGTCCCTCTTTTATATGAAAATGCTCATAGCCCTCTGGTTGACTTAACGAGTTGATCACCAGCTTCACTTAGCCCGACTATGTTTGCTAGGTTTAGTGAAGCCAGATAACAAAAACATATCCTGGGTATGCTCTCGTAGATTAATCGCAGCAACTGGACTTGCTTGAGTTCCTTGAAGACGTTCCACCTCTCATCCAAGAGGCTTCATCAGTTCAGACTTATACCCTTAAGGAGCCATGAACACTGAGTTTCAATTGGGGGTTTGTTGTTAAAACTCAGGTGTTAATGGCTCCTTAAGGATATCAGTATCTGGAACTCCCAACTAGTCAGTCAGAACTGATGAAGCCTCTTGGATGAAAGGGGGAACGTCTTCAAGGAACTCAAGCAAGTCCAGTTGCTACAATTATTCTACCAGAATAACCATGACCTGGACGACTGAGAATCTTCACAGACATCCTGGGCATGTTAAACTTGCTTTAAGCACACACCCTGATGCCTCTTTACCTGCTTTAGATCCTGAACATGTTGTCAACAACGAGCACACGTACCTGCCGAACACAAATATGATGGTGAGCAGCGGCACCAGTTTGAGCAGGTCCTGGCTGATGTAAGTCGCCATCACAGCCAGTTGTAGGAAAAAGAAGAGGAAGAGTGCCAGCGACTCGTTGACGTAGTGCCAGTGCACCGCCACGTCTCTGTCCACCAGCTTATTCTGGTAGAGGGGCTTCAGGACGCTGAAACGCAGCCGAGCGATGCCCTGCACCACCACACCTGCAACACAACATTCATTATCGCCTGAGTGGTTTGAATTTTGCTTATTTGTTTTAGATCTGAGAAATGTTTGAGCGCACGACAAACGCGAACACGCTGAGGTCTCACCGAGCAGGATGGGGATGATGGCGAAGAATGAGCAGCGCAGTGTGTACACCACCCTGAGGGGGGCGCTCTCCAGCAGCGGCGATTCGAACGGAAGGAGGGCGTAACCTCCCCAGACCAGGAGAGGGAAGAGGAGCGCTGCAGCTAGCGTGGCTAAAACCAGCCTCAGCTTCTCACTGCACAGATGGTCGCACAGGTCTGAGGGACAAAATCACATCAAACACCTTAAAACAATTCTCATGAACCGAGCGTGGAAAATCAAAGTCTAGAACTCAAACTCGGGACAAACAAGGTGACAGAGAAAAAAACATGACCTGAAGTCACAGCATGATTCAGCTCGAGGCGTAATTATATGTAATTATATGTGAATAAGGAGAGATCAGAGTGTGGCACTGCCAGGCGGAGTGAAGAGCCACTGGCCATGTCAGTGAGTGAAAATGTGCTTCAGGAAACACAACAAGTAGGTGCCAGGATTTGAGCAAACATGTGATTAAATAATCATCACTCGGTTACTCATCACTTGTATTTTCAAAACTAAAAATCCACTTAAAAAAATGTTAAACTCTCTGGCTGCAAATTACATAAAAACCAAAGCAGGGTGAGTTGTTTGTTAAAAGAGAAATGATTTGCCTCTTTTGATTTAAAATCACAAGTACTTTAGGAGCATTTTGTTTATAATCTTGCTTAATATGACCTTAATTTGATTTAACAGCTTTTTAAAAAGTTACTGTCCAGCAGCCAAGCAACATTAAATGTACTATTTTATTTCACAACAGCAAAAGAAGTCTAAAATCTCTTATTACAGGCTCCTAAATGTAAATATCTGCTGGTTTCCTTCATCTAGGATGAGATCTTGAGTTTTGGAAAACACTAACTGACATTTTTCAACATTTTCTGACATTTTAAAGTCCAAACTAATTGATTAATCAAGACAACAATTTCCCAGATCAGTCTGCAATACAAATAATCATTAGTTGCAGCCCTATATTACACAAGCAGGTACATTCGAAATTGAATTGCAAACCGAGCATTTATGCATCGTGTAGTCATACGATTTATGTTAATTACCGTAATTTCTGGACTATGAGCCACTACTTTTTCCACACGCTTTGAACGCTGCAGCTTAAACAATGATGCGGCTAATTTATGGATTTTTACCAGTATGCCTCGAGACCAAAGTGACGTTGAGAACGACAACGACAGAGAGACTGAGGAAGTGTGTGACGAAGTAATTCTGAGGCTGAAGAAGACGACTTTAGTGGTTTTAGTGCGCAGGAGGAAGATGAAGATAGCGATCAATGACTTTTCCTGGTAGGCTGCTGTGGCTTTTATTTTCTTAACCAGCCGTGTTACAGGCACTGTTCGGGAATGTATTTAATTAAAATTTTAAAAAACCTTCCTGTTTAAATATCTCATGTTACAACATGGACACCTGCAGCCTGTATATGTACAAAACTTGTTTTCTTTTTAAAGTTAGTGGGTGTGGCTTATATCGCTCAATAGTCTGGAATTTATGATATCTATAAATGGAATCGCAAAGTGCATTTTTAAACAATTATCATCAATTATAGTCATCGTCAAGGCTCTTCAAACCTATTATGTGCAACAATGGGCTTAATATCCAAAGACGTACGCCTGACATGTTTTGTTTATGATGTTGCACACTACATACCGTCACAAACAACTTTTAATTGCAGCTCCTGTGCATCAGATTCAGTCCAGTTCACTGCTGCTGACGCTCTCCTATGAGCTGACTGATGTCTTTTTGTTTTGTTTTTTGTAACCAATAACACTTAAGCTAGCACTGATTTGATTTTTTTGCAATAATTTTCGGTGTATCTTTGTTGTATGCCGCACTAAAGACTGTTGTTTATCCACTACTTCCTGTTTTGTTTTTTTAAATGTGCCACTTTCACGTATTAATTCTGGTTTATACTTGTCTGTACATCGACTAAGGTCGTCTCTACTTGGATCTATTTCATTTTTTATCTTGTATTTTTGCTACTCTTTTTATTTAAATCTGAATCTTTTATGCTGTGTGTAAAATGTGCCACACAAATAGGGTTAAGGTTATGGTCGGCTGGAGTCCTGGTACTCCTGGTAGGGTCACCCATGCTGAACAGGTCAAAAGGTAGGGATCAGACTAGGAGTGATCCCCTGGTCCTCCAGGTTGGGGGTTGGCGTTAGGAAGGGCATCCAGCCGTAACATCTTAACTCCAACAAAGTCTTGGATGTCGCCGGAAAAAGAAAGAGGGGGGGGACCCAGGAAAACATGGGAGGAGCTGGTGTCAGAGGACCTGGTGGATTGGAGGCTAACCCCTGATGATGGCCTCGATAGGGATAAATGGAACTGCGAAGCAACCGTGCATCATCTAACCCTAACCGTAGTGTCCCAACAGACGTTAATGAGACGAGTAAGTAAGGAAATAAATTTTCTAATGTTCTTATCGATACAGAAGTCTCATTATTATATGATTTTTCTCATGCACCTGAACTTCTCCTGAACGTCTGCTTTTGTTTTATTCATGTGTCACAATAACTATTAGTTTTCAGATTTCCCACAAAGTACAATAACATGTTTATTTGCAAAACAAGACAGTTAACTGTAGGGACTTGTTAAAACAATGAGCAACAGTGGCTCTTAGACGTTGCTCCTACACTTCACCGTTAACAGGAGGACACCATTTGATTAATACTCTTAACAAATGCGGGTTGTGTCGGACACTTACAGGTCTTGTCGTCCTGCTCGACCCACTCTGGGTAATACTGCACAGCAGGCTCGGGCTCCATCTGCGGCTCCATGTCTTCGTCCTTCTCCACGAAGTGCCTCCTCTCCACGGGAACCTCTTTGCCGGACTGACACACGATCATGACATGAGGAGTGATACCCAGAGAGGCTTTCTCCGGGACCCACTTGGACTCCTCTTCTTCTTCCTCCTCCTCCTCCTCTTCGTCGTCTGCGAGTGAGCCGTCCCCTTTGTCATCCCGCTGCACCTCGATCTCATCGTCCCTCCACCTCTCACCCTCGGGCATGCTCTCCCTCCACTTGGCTTTACTCTTTACGTCGCTCTCCGGCTGGCTCTGCTCCTCAGACAGATCCTGGCTGCCCCCGCTGATCCCCGTGTCCCTCTCTTCGGGTTCTGAAGCCGCTTTATCCGACCAGACTCCATCATCATGGTCCAACAGGGGCGTCTTGTTTTTGTCTCCCGGCCATGGCAAAGTACTCGGCTCCAGATGAGCAGAGCTGGTCACTTCCTCCTCCTCCTCCTCCTCGCTTCTTTCCTCTACTTGTGGCTCAGCAGCAGGACCAGCAGCCACCTCCTCCCCTTTATCAGTAATCAAACCACCCAGGCCAGACATTGTCGAGTGTTTAAATTAAATTCTGTGCGAGTGTGATGGTTAGCGGCGGCCAGAAGTCATCGTACACCTCATTGGTGGATTCCCCTGTGAGGAAGAGACGAAAAATGTCAGAGCTATGTTTGAAAACAACACTCTGCTTCTCGTTCTGCTTCACACACACACACACAAAAAAATCAAAGTTCACTGTTTATCATGGGTGTGTTTCCCTGTGTGTGGCTTGTCCTGCCCCCGCACAGACCAACACGGTGAATACAGCCTGTTTGACTTTCTGCAGCTGTGTTTTGTATGAAAAAGTACATTTAAAAATTGCAGTAAATATGCATGAATGGTGAGGATATGATTCCCAGATGTCAAAACAAATATCTCAGCTTATTCAGAGGGTGAATTGTAAACTTTTTGAGCATATTCGCTTTAAATCTTGTTATTTGAAGGAGATTATGTTTATGTAATATGACCTTTTCTCCTTATATCCCCACTGTGGGGCAAAAAAGGAAGCCAAATGACATATTACAATATAAAACAATGCATTCTGAAGCTGAAAAATGATTAGTGTTATTAACTAACAATACAGCTGGGCTAAAGAAAATCAAAATATTGTGATAAAGTTTCATCATAACACCCCAGAAACATCCTTATAAGTTTAAAAATGACATATTTAGTTTGAAAAACCTCAAGAGATTTAGGTTACAATCATATAAGACAGTAAATCCTGAATCTAAGCTACTAAATGCTACACAAACAATACAAAAAAAATCTGTGAGGTAGCTGCTGCAGACACAGTTTTAACTATTGTTTATCTGATTTGAAGCAGGTTACTGTTTATAAGGAGGTTATTGTGACGCATTTAGACTTTTTCCAGCCCTGTGTGGCTACCGAGGCCTGCTACAGAGCCGTCAGGAATGTTTGCTCAAGTTTAGGCGAAAAACCTGTTCAGCTAATCTGTGTCTTCTCGGTTGTCATACTTTAACAGAGAGACAGAACTAATAAATATTCCCGCTTCACGTACCTGTTTTTAATCGGGTCTCATCACCGAAAAAAACCGAAACAACCCGAAACTCGGTGTAAAAGCAGCTGCTTTTTATTTTTCCTCAGGTGAAGCGAGAAGTTGTCTGTCAGGTGAAACCAGGTGTTCGAGCCAACAGGAGGAAACACGCGACGTATCACTCCGCCGGTGTGACAGAAAGCGTCAGCGCGCACGCCGCCCACCTGACGTCATTACGTCGTTGTAGTTCTTTCACCCACCGCCATATTGGAACGCGGCTCTGGTAAATTGAGGAGAAAATGCGGCAATTTGAGCCGCTTTTTGATGTTTTAATGAAATAAATACAAAAAGTAAGCAGCAGGGAATAATATTTCACAAGTGAGACGTTACATTACATGTTTTTTTATTTTTCTAAATGTCTTAAATTGAATACATCACTACATAAGTTGTTTTTTTTGTTTTTTTTAATTGTTTTTGAGGTTTCCACCAATATTTACACAGGACAAAAATATAAACAGCACTAATTCTTCCACTATTTTTAACATAAGGGAATAAGTGTTTGATGTCCCAATATCTCTACAACAGAATGCACATCATGCAACAACCTAGTAAATGTCACATTGGATGATAAATGGTACTGTCATAAAAATATCATTGCCTCATTTTAATGCAGCTGCATTTTAAGATGGCCTTTTCTAATCAAAGGAGTGTCTGCGTACTGCTCACACTGTCTGATCATTGACTACAGTCAGAAGTGACTATCAGGTAAAGTCACACCTGACTAGAGAGCAGATTAATCTGACAGTCTAACGGTTCAAAAACCTTTTTGTGCAAAATCAGATGACTTGAACCGTTTTCTAACCATAACAAAAGAAATGAGATTTTTAACTTTTTGTTTAAGTCAGACACAATTAGCGTATTTTTGTTCAGTTTAAAACACATGCATCTGTTGCCGTAGTACTAACATGAAAGAAGCAGAGGACTTTTATTTTGAAAAACATTCTAATGCTGGCCAGTTTCCACTCAAGGATAGATTTTATGGTGGCCCAAACCTTTGTGCCAGCACCAACCAACAGAGCCGGCCTTGTAGAACCACTTTCTGGGACTTTTCGTCGATTAAAAACTACTCATTTGAGCTCTGTGACTCTGCAGTGGGTCTCCATGTTGATTGGTTGAACTCAGAGAGGACGACAGGTGCCATTATTTAACTTCTGTCCTGTAACTACTGTTTGGTCCAAAGCCCACAGACACAACAACACCTCTGTATTTACACTCAAAACATAAATTAGGAGCTCATGAGATCACTAAATCTTTCGTGTCAACCACACACGAAACAAGTCATTTCTTCTACAACATGACGCAGAAAAGGCACAAATGATTCCTTCAAAATTAAGCGTTTGAGGCTCAAAGTCACTCATGGGAGGACCTCCAGACACACCCACTCAATATATCCACTGAAATACTCAAATGAAACCTCGCCCTTGTGTCACAGGAACTAATCCTTCTCCCAGACGAACACCTCAGTCAGTTCTAGTTAACTCACTGAAAGCTAACTATCACATGGAGCAAAAAAGTAATATATTAGTAAGGTGCTAAAACTGATCATCATCGATCAGCTATTTGTCACTGTATGTGATAATGTGTTGAGTAATCTTTAAACAGTGTTTCTGCAGCATCTTAACAACTCTAGAATCCAATTATCAGAATTTTAGTCCTTTTTTGTAAACAAATAAAAAATCAGATGTTCGTCTGCTTTCTCCTCGTTTATTAACTTCTTTAGCAGTTTCTAATTTTCTTGCAAGCACAAGCCTTTGAAGTATAAACCAAACTGTTAATGTTTGACATTCTGAGCTGTTCTTCACATACATGGTCTCCTCTTTACTCCTCAGATTCGCCGTCTGAAGCCCAAACTCACCAGCGGAGCCAGAAACTGAAACTAATAGTCCTTGATCTATTCATCTTTGACGTGCTGCTCCATCAAAAGACAATCAAATCTAAGCTTAAAATTGTGATATTTAATTTAAAAAAAAAAAAAAAAACATTTTATTCTATGTGAGTTATTTAAAATTTTACCATTTGCACCAACTACATTCAGTAACAAAGCAAAACGATTAGACTAATTAATGAGTAAAATAGCTCTAATTGTTTTTTAATTTCCCATGCCTGGGACGATAAAGTTGATCTTGAATCTTAAATCTTGAAAAAAAAAACTATAATATAGATATATCTGATTTCCCGACTCAACTGGAAAGTTGATATTGACAGAGTAAACTTTAGGGGCTTCTTTTTGGCTGAACTGCAGGTTGTGTACGGGTGATAAAAAACAGCTTTAAGTCCAAAAAATTCAATTGAATATTGATGTCAACCGACTAAATTTAATTTATGTAGTGCCAATGGGGGCTGCAAGATGGCTCGGTGGTTAGCACCGTCCCCTCACAGCTAGAAGGTTTGCATCCCAGTGAGGACACCCAGGATCTTTCTGTGTGGAGTCTCCATGTTCTTCCCGTGCAGCGTGGGTTCTCTCCGGGTTCTCCGGCTTCCTCCCACAATCCAGAAACATGTTGAGGTTAATTGGTGATTCTAAATTGTCTGTAGGTGTGAATGTGAGTGTGCTTGGTTGTCTGTCTATAAGTGTGGCCCTGCGATGGACTGGCGACCTGTCCAGGGTGTCCCCTGCCTTCACCCTAAGTCGGCTGGGATAGGCTCCAGCCCCCCCGCGACCCTAGTGAGGATTAAGCGGTGTATAGATGATGGATGGATGGATGTTTCTGGACTGTTTTGAGGGAACCGGAGAACCTGGAGAGAACCCACGCTGCACGGGGAGAACATGGAGACTCTAGTGAGGATTCATCGGTGTAAAGATGATGGATGGATGGATAGTGCCAATGGACAAACAATGCATAAGAGAATAACAAACACTGAGGAGGTCAAAGAGGCCGGAAACTGCAGAGAAAAACCCAAACCACAGGAGAGAGACGACACAAAGTTGGTGACACGTGATGGTAAATAAATGATATATAAATGTACAGAGAGACAAAGATTTACTCGTTAATGTTGCACCAGTGGCTTTATTTTTACCTGAATGTACTCGCATTTCCTGTGTTTGTTTAAACAAAGAAAGTGGTAATGTTCTTTTAATCTTTTAAGGTTTCAACATCTATTTGCTTTATAGTTTGGAGTGATTCATCTGTCGAGACAAACATAATCTGTGCTCTGGAGTGACTCAGGTGAAGTCACTGAACAGGACAGGTGAGGGTGGAGCTGCTGCTGAAGGACTCCGTCATGAACAGCTCGTTAGCGCCTGTGGGTCGCTCCTCGTCAAATCGTCACATTTCTGCTACGATCACTGCTCGACCATGTCTGAAATGATTATAGCATCAAATATGTGATGTTTGTGACAGTTTAGCTTAATTTATAACTTTCATTGATTTAAAAAATTGTGAAAAAGTGCCTGTTGACCCACTTCCTGCACGTTTTGTTTTCTTCTGAAAATGTAATGCCATCTCACAAACTCAGGAACTAAAAGCCGATATATATAATAAGCAAAATACATTTTCACCGTTGTCTATCTCTCACCATGCCATTGATTCAGAACCGGTAGATGTAAATAACCTCTAAATTTGGGTGAGCGGAAATGTGAAAAAAAGAAAAAGCAAACAGTAACTAAAACATCGATAATGAAAGTCAACTTTCCTCTGAACCAGAGCTGCACATCATGATTATACAGACCAAAACATACAGAGCACTTCTTACTATTAAACCCTCGGGCACAAAAACAGAAGTTATTTTTGCTGAACTCTTATAACTGATTGAACAGGTGTGACTAGTCGTACCACAAAAACTAAATTAAAGCTGCAAGCAGCGTTGGTCGGGTCCTCGGTCTGCGTTGGACCCTCATGCCCGTCTGACCTCCATTTTGACAATTTATTCAACTTCACTACACTCTGACACACTAATAGGCAATTTTCATAGTGTTGCTATCTGCTACGATTTTAGAGATATGTAGCTTTAAGTTGAAGGAGCCACTTTTCTGTCTCTGCTCAGCCTCAGACTGTCAGTGAGTCACATGACCAGCTGCACTGAGCTGTGATGATGTCATCGTTCTTCATGTCCCTTGGTGGGAGAGCGACATTTTTACTCACTTTCACTCTCCCATACAGCCACAATTTTCACCAAATATGTGTAAAAACAGCATATTTTTGTGGTAAATCTTGTTAGGAAGCCCTCAGTGTCATTTTTAAAGCTGTAGGACCTTTAGTTTTTTGTGTAGATGACAAAATGTCACAGCCTGTCTGAACATGTCCCATAGACAGCCATACAAAGTATGAGCCGAGGCTGCGACAGCTCATCAACTTTAACGGCTCGCCATTCGAAAACTGGTTGAGAAATGCCAAATCCCTTCAGAACTTTTGTACATCAAGGCCTTCTGTGTCTCCTGTGCGATTTTCAAGTTGGTACGATTTACGGTGTCAGACAAGATAATTTTTTCCCAAAAGAAGTTTTCGCTCATTTTTTTACTTTGAAAGGCAAATTGCGGACTTCCTGTTGGAGATAGGTCAGGGGTGTCAGTGTGAGATTTGTGGGGCTCATTGAGACGAACGTTTTGGTGTTGGTTTGATCTCTGTACGATATTCCTACTGGGCACTAGGGCCATTTTAGTGTGTTTTTCTGTAACTAGATGGCGCTAGAGAGCATTTTTGTCTTTTTTTTTTCATTTTATCAAATTTTTCGCCAATTCGGAAAGGAAGGCAAACACGTTCGTCAGGAAAATAATAAGGACCCTAAATATGGCGAGAAAGCCAAATCCAAGTGTGTGCACTTTCATTTTCAGACACCACCCTTGAGTTAGAGAATGTGCTTTTGTTTTCTTGACCCAGTACTGAGGTCTGTTGGGACTTTTCTAGCAGGAAACGTTCATGTCTTGACTTGTATTTATGTTAATCTGATGCAACCAAGACGTTAGTGGTGAATTCAGTCTCGTGCTCACTGCAGAAGCTGTTTAATAGGATCACATGGAGTCTTTCAGTTTGCCCAGAGACCAGTGTCACAAATAAAGACTGCAGAAAGTTAAAGAGTACATTAGTGATGCACGATATTAAAAATTTCTGGCCGATACCGATATTAAGATTTCCGATATCGCCTGATAACCGATATCACCAATGTTGATGTTCAATTTTTGTTCACATCAAAAAATGAGTATAAGTAAGTACTGTGATAAAACTATTCAAAAGAAGCCTAAATTAGACCACATAGTCTTCTTTATTACATAACATTAGATTTGTGTATAATTATATTCATTTGCATAATTAGTTTATTTTGATATTAATTTATGTAGTGCCTTACATATTATTTCATTGATTATTTAGTCATATTTTGTTATTTTATGTTTACTTCTTGCCCTGCTCTATGTCCCAAACGTTGGTTCCTACCTACTATTGGTTTGGTACAGCGCTTAAAATTGAGGGACGGGGTGACGGGTGAGAGTGAAGCGTGGTCAGTTGGTCAGAAGCTGCCAATAAAGCTGCTGAACTGTCCTGCTGTTGTGGCGAGTTATTAGCACGGAAACATAACGCAAACATAAAATTTCAATTGTAACCCGACTGACCCACCGCCTGGAGACGGGTGAGCCACACAACTTTTCAGGGATACAATTACGTAGCAAAAGTTAAACATATTAAAACATATTTAATGTTCAAGTCCAGGACCATTTCAGTAAAAATATCTGTGAAATAGCAGCGATATCAAACGTAGAGCCGAAGGTACTGATGTTGGACACTCATCGGTTTTTCACATCGGCTCAATTTGGTCATCGGACCGATACCGATATATCGGAAAAAACACTAATATCAGCCGATACTGATATTTGTGTTAATCTGATGTACTTGTGTAACCAAGACATTAGTGATAATTTTAGTCTTATGGTCACTTCAGAAGCTGTTTAATAGGATCACATGGATTCTTTTGGTTTGTGGGTGAAAAAAAACTTGGACTAAAGCCTCCAGAAAGTTAAAGAGTTCATGTATATTTATGATGTCTGTTGAAAAGTTTACCTTCAAGGCCTTCTTCCAATATCACAACAAAGCATCAAGTCGATTACGTGACGTCTGAAGTGACTGAAAACATTATTTGTTAGTTATATTTGGAGACTCATTTTCCGTTCAAGCTATCCAGCAATATGTTGGTTTTTGCGGTATGAGTTGTCAAACCGGCTCAACCAGCTATGAAAGTTCAGCAAATATAACTTTTCATTTCATACTAAAACGTATTCTTTATGTTTGTTGAGATACGACTACATATGGTTCTGAAAATACCTCTACTTGACTTCTGCATTATGGTACTTTTTTTTTTACTACAATTTAATTATTTTGTTCTCCATCAGACATTGTAGATTTTGACGCAATGACATGGTGAGAAATAACTGAAAATATCAGGCTTATATCTTTAATAGTTATAGAAATATTGTTGTTGAAACATCACCTTAAATTTCAGGCAATTAAAGAAAAATATTTATATAATATTACTGCAGCAAGTATTTCATATATCAAGCTGAAATTTCCCAATTTAAATAGCCAGTTTGATTACAAAAAAAAAAAAAAAAGTTTCAAGCAAATCAGAGGTGTTTTGAACAGAACGCCTCCGATTATTTCAGATTTATAAAAACTAGTGTGTCTAACACATCTGCTTACATCAGTAGGTTTAGTAAACTGTACTTGAACAGATCAGGTGTAGAGAACAGAAGAAAACATGACGCCACACTGTGGGAAATAAAACGGCAAGATTAACATTTTATTTCAATTCGACCAAAATCTCACAAATTATTGGCTTGTTGTTCAAAACACACAGAAAAGCAAATGTCCACTTAAAATGATTCGACTTCACGAAGCCAGGTCAAATTTCACGGTGATTTTTTAAAACTTTTTGAGCCTCCTTCTCCGCGACTCACAGAAGAAGCACAACTTGGCATTTAGAAACTTCAATCGTTTGACCCGACCAAAGAAAGCTGTTTAATATCAGGTGTGATGGTTTATACAAGGTCTTCAAAACAAGGAAATGAATGTTCGTGAAATCAATCCAATCGCTTGATTTTGATCTCATTACAGTCCCAAAACATAATAAAAAAAAAAAAAAAAGAAAAGGCTTCACAGCTACACACTTACATTTAGAGAAAATAAATGAATAATGACTGCAACTCGTTAACATCGGAAACTCAAAAAGGAGGAAACCTTCCTGTGAGCGGCAGGAAGGTGTTCGATACGGAGCTTTTCTTCCTCTTGAGGAACGCGTTTAGCCAGCCGTCGACGGGCCGGTCAGCGCAGAACAACTTGTCGATCTCAGTAATGGATGGTACATTCAAAGCTTTGGCAATTAAGGCAAAAAACAAATATGGAGCCATGACCGACTGCGAAATGGCGTAGAGGAAATCGCGGCATAATTTAGACAGTATTCATCTCCAAAGCCCCCAAACTCTCCTCACAGATACTCAACAGAGAGTCAAAAACCTCAACGTCCAGGTTCTGTTCTGCCAAGACACTCTCGGGTAAGAGATTTTTAATCTCAAAGGTTTTCCTGGTTAAATAAATGTTAAGAAAATTAAGAGGAAATAAACAAAACAAAGCACAGACCGTCATTAAAATCAACATTAGGAATGACACAAACGGCTAAAAACTGAGCCTGGTATACTATTTTGTGTTCCAACATTACTGTTTCTCATGTGTGACCGACTACTGTGGCTTAAACTTGCTATGAAAGATATTTTTGACCACTTAAGGGCAACGAAATCGAGCCGGTGTGAACAAAACACTGAGTTATAGCCACATTTCAAACCGTTGTGGTGAACTCATGAAGAAACGGTTCATCCTGCACTTCATGTAGTCGTGCTTCTGGCAATCTCAACGTAAATGCAATCTTGATTTCTTTTTTTTTAGCGTCAATTTTTAGCCTCTACCAACAACTAAAGAAAATGCAGTGGTGCTAAAAAGGAGGCGAACCCTTTAGGAACAACCAAGTATGATCATTTTGTTCATTCACTTGGGTGTGAAACTCTGATGGTCGTATTTACGTAGAAACACTAATTTCTTATCCAAGCACCACCGCATATCACTCTTTAGTCCATCTCCACCAGACGGTTGCTACTGTTGTCTGCCACTTTTAGAGCTTTTCCACTGAAACATCAAGACAGCAGCGAGATTGAACCAAAACACCGACACTGTTCAGCCAAAAGCTACACAAAACTCACAAAGTTTTGTCGAGCAGAGCTGCAGATTCAGGCGGTAACTCTTTCACGGCTCATTTCTACGAGCAGCTCCGTCACACACGGTTATAAAAATATCAATTATAGCAACTATAGAGACACAACGAAATAATAAAAACTAACTTTTACTAATCCTGCGTCCTACATTTGGCATATAGCTCTTAATATATGCCAAATGTAGGTTTAAAAAAAATCATTTTTAGTATCGTAATATCAAAATCTCTTGCCTCTCTCTTCCTGTACAACATTACAATACTTCTGATGACTTAAGGGCGTACACGGAAACTTATCCAGTCATATGAGATTTGGGGCAACGGACTAAATCTTCCAGACTTAGTCGTTTTCTTGTGGGACTTGAACAGCAGATCAGTGAAGATCGTGTGATTGAGCCCCACATCGCTCGACTCATATGCCTCATGTTACGGAACAGAAACCCTGGGAATACATTTCATATTTCAGATGAAAACACATAAGACACGTGAAAGAAACAATTAACGAGAGACTGCATTGACAAACTGAAGCTTTTTTATAGTTTTTTCCTTTTGCTTTTTTTCGACTTTTTTTTTTTTGACTTTTTTTTCTCCCCTCCAAAGTCGATCCCCAGCCAAAATTTTTTTTACTATCACAACTAAACTGACAAACACTACATCTGAAAGCTGAATGAAAACTGGAACGATCCGTCTAGAATAATTACCTCCACATGCCAGTTCTAGTAAAAGGTTATTAGCACTTCTGCTAACTCGGATGATACAAATAAACGTATTAAAAAAATCAAGCACAGTAAAAACAAGATGAAGTTAGTCAGAAAAACAGAAGAGCTGCTTAATATCTAGACTAGCCAACTGACAAAATGTTAAAAACAGGTTTGTTTTTTTTTCCATTTGACAAGAATGTATTTCTATGTTTTAAACAGCAATTACTACAGCAACTTTTTTGGTCAGACCGGAATCGTTCATCAAGCCTGGTCACTAACATCAAAGCTTACGTCCTGATCGATGAGAGTTTCTTCCGTATCCACTGCGTGCTCCGTGCTCAGCTCCACCTCCCTTTCTACCACCTCCGCTTCATTTTGCACCCCGACCGCCGGCGACTCGCTGGTTGCTTCGGGGAGCGTGCTGTCGAGCGGCGTGTCACCTGTGGCTTTATTTTTGCTGAGCGAACCCTTAGGGCGGCCCCTTTTCCGCGGGATGTCGTCTCCGCTTCTTGCAATGCTCGGGGGGCGGCCCCTCTTTCTCGGAGATCCGTCCCCAGGGTTCTGTGGTGATCCACTGTTAAGCAAACCTTTGCGCAAGTGCGCGCCTTTCTTAGACTCCGACTTGCGAGGTCGGCCGCGGCTTCGGCGTGGGGTTGGCGTAGCGCCCTCCGGAGGATCAACACGAGGGTACTTCCTCGGCCTTCCCAGCGGCTTCCAGACTTTTGGCTTGTTCAGCTCCTCCGGTGATGGCAGAGGGTTCTTCCTCGGCCTTCCCCTTTTGGCTGGTTGTAGTCGGGGTCGACCACGCTTCTTCCCTTTTACAGGCAGGACGTGTACTTTCTTGGGCCGGCCCACTTTGCCGCGCACCTTATACGCACCGGGTTTCTTATTTACAGAGCCTTTAGGCCGACCTCTTCCCCTCTTTACCGGCTGGGAGCCATCTGCGGACATCTGATCTTTTCTTGGCCGTCCTCTTTTTCTTTTCCCAGGTGTCTTTGAGATGCCGTTCGACGAATCCTTCACCGCCACCTTTCTGCGCCGACCTCTCCCTCTTTTCTGTGAGTTTACGTCACCTTCTCCGTCCACCTCTGCCATCAACCTGGGTTTCTTATTGGGAGAGCCTTTTGGTCGACCTCGTTTCCTGGGTGGTAAAGAACTCCCTCCGTTCTCTTCCCCGCTCTTTACTCCGTTCGGTAAGTCTCCACTGGCTGTACTTTTGCTGAGTTTCGGCCTGCCTCTTTTCCTCGGAGTGCCGTCGTTACTGACTGCTTTCTTGGACCCTTTCGGCCTTCCCCTACCACGTTTGACAGAATTGTCAGGATGGCTGCCAGACCCTACTGATCTTGGACGCCCTCGTCCCCTCTTGGGCGGTATAGACCCACCGTTGGCATCGGCCACCATCGGGTCTGTTAGGTTAACATCTGTGACACAAACCTTGAGTTTCTTGGAACCTTGCGGCCTCCCTCTTCCCCTTTTAATCGGACTGTTGTTGTTGTTGTTGGGCACTTCGGCACTAGTCTCCCCTTCATTGTTCACAGTCTCTGCTTGCTCCGCGTCAGCCATTTTAACCTCCTCCTCCATACTGCTGACTTCAGCTTGGACTCCTCCTGTTGGTCTGCACCTGTTTATTGGACACAGAGGGTACAATTAAGATTTAACTAATGCACTTATGAACAGTCACTTGAATACTTAAAAAAAAAAAAAAAATCTATCCTCTGATTTATGACCTTTTATTTACTAAAATACAGATGTTTACTTTATTAACTATTCCCTTGTATGAACACATATTTCTGTTAAAAGCAACAATTATGAGCTCATTTTTTATTCAGGTTAAAAACAACAAAAAATAATCAGTCTCTTGCTGAAAAAGGTAGTGGGGAATACTTTTCTTAAACTAGTTATTCTGCATAGTAAAATAACATAGACCTGTGAGCACTTTTGAATAATATTTTGAAATTAAATATTACATTTGACATGTTTTATTATCATCTTATTTATAGTATGACACTTATTTTTCACAACTTTCATTTGGTGTTTTCCTCTTTAAAAGCAGCATAACACCTATAGAGGGTGGTGTTCAGTCATTTTCAGTTGACCCATGAATTAAGAAATTTAACAAACAAGCCACAGAAAATAAATTAACAGCAACTAACACGCTATATAATTGTAATCATCTTATTACAGATTTTTTTTTTGTTGCTATAGTTCATCTGCAATAGTCCACAAATGACCAATGACAGGCCCATCAAACCTGCCTTTTTTAAAGTATAATTATTAAAAAAGACTGTTTCATTGTTGTTTTGATTATTTGCAGTCAGGATGTCAACCACATCACCACACTGAGACTTGGTAAGATCTTAGGTTGCATTTACTTAAACTCATGCATTCAACACAGTCAACAAAAACATACGACTAAGCAGGCTAGAAAACTGGGTGGGACTTTCCCACAAAGAACTCAACTGGTCTGAAACTTAATTGAAGGACAGGAACTCATTTGTGTCAGAAATTATACATCTGAGTGTGCAAAAAATGTGGTGGAAATCCCCGTAATGCAGCAAAAGAGTTTTGGAATGACTTTAAAAATGGAGTGAAAGCACACTATTTAGACGATACTGAACCTTTGTTTGTGACCGTTAAAGATTAGTAATATTTAACGAAAGACAATCATTTTTATTCGCAAGGAAAAAAGCTTGCAATTAGAGTTAAATCAACTAAAATAATTGTTACAAACAAATCTGTAGAATGCACGTCATTGTCAGCCTGGTAGAATAGAGACTGCATGGTGTAGTGGAGAGGATGGAAGACATTTAGCTACAGACTTTGCTATGTAAATATGACTTAATCATTGGTTATTAGTAATTTACAAAGAGTAAAATATGGAATAAAGTTTGTTTCCAGCTCACATTTATATTTTAGATAATTTCTCACACTGTTTAAAAATGAATTTGCATAAGATGTGTGTTTATGTATGCATATTTTAATAAAAACTGCAATTATATTGATATACATTGACTTCTAAAATTATACAAAATTAGTATATGCTCCAAAACAACAGTATCAGTTGAGTTTGAGGTGCAACCAACACATCACCAGAATCCTGAATTTTTTAAAACACAGTAAGTCAATAATAGTAATAATAATAGTAATAAAAAGCAGAACTTTTCATGTCAACAAAAGTATTTAAAAAAAAAAAAATAGCATCATGAATTTAGTCAATATTCTGACTTCTGACACCGTTTGATCTTCCTTATCATATCTGCCTACTTGTTTTATTTAATTTTATAAAACGGAAGTGGTACAAGCATGGCAAATAAACATAAATAAAAACAAAACTTTACTACTTCACGTTGTTAAAAAAATAGAAAAAATAAATCGGTTAAATGTATAAAATTCACCATTTTAAAATAGAAATGAAGGCTTTAAATTTTAAAGCAATATATATATTTTTAAAATTACTTTCTGGTAATAAATATATTTCTAAAAATTCGTGGATCACCGTGAAAACGACCAAACGACGCCTTCTACAGCCTATGTGCCACTTTTAAGGTGGACTGAAAACCAAAGAAGCTCGGCGTCATTTTTAATGGCTGGGCTTTTTTGCTCAGCTTCGTCTATTTACTGGGCTACAATCTTTTAACGGCGGGAAAGTGTACTCAGGCGCTGAGGCGTCCCATCAATAACGCGCACTACTAACATCACTGCACGCCAAACACAGTGGTGCTGTTTTAAAAAAATGCACAAATCCAAATATTGGCAACTTGTCGAAAAATCTTACAAACCACGCGCTTCCTCGTTCGGATCCGAAAGACGATTAATTTAATTAGATTTCGGGCGTTAAACAATTGCTACGACTGTGGACCAGATTGTTTTCCAGGTAATAGTCCGATTCAAATCGACGGCTATGAAATGAGTAGCTAACGGCGAGAAGCGCAGAAAACGCCGCAATCGGATCGAGCTCACGTCTCACCAGAAAGAAACACTGCGCAGGATTTTAGCGTATTTTTTCGGTAAATATTGATTTAGCAGACGTACCGTAAAGAGAAAGTGCGCTTATTGTCGCTGTGATGGCTGTTCAAATTTGAGCCCGCTTCCGGCCGTACGTGACGTATAAGGTGCTCCGAAGGAAACAGCGGCGTTTGCGTTTCGGTTCCGCGCATAGACTCGATGGTTCCGCCTCCGTTAATTCGTTAATTCTGAGGTACCTGTGCATTATTTGGGTATTTCCATTTCATGCTACCTTTTACTTCCACTTCGTTCCACTTTTATTATTCTTTCTACTTTAATTTGTTTATTCAGCAACGGTAATACGTCAAAGGTTTTACGTAAACAATAATAACAGAAGCTTTTAAAATACAACACAGCATTAAAGATTAAACCCTTTAGACCTTTACTTCAAAAAGGTTTATGTAATTAATTCACAGCCTTTTATTGTGTAGTTTGAATACTACGTCTTCTTCTTGTGTCAGGTTCATTGGCGGTGGACGAACAAACCACTCGGTGCATTACTGCCACCACCTGGTGTAGAGGTGAATCACATGTAAACTCACAACCCCTCTGTCAAACTGCTTTATCTAAAATACTGAAACATGGCTTTACTTCTGTAGTTGCTCTGTAAAATGCTCATAATATTAACATTTAGTTTAATCTGTTTGAGGTTTTTGAATAAATATCAACTCTGTGCCTCATATTTCTTATTGTGTTGCTGTAGCCGCTCCTAAAATCTGGAGCCATCCACCCTTGCACATCAAAACCAACCTCAAAACCCACTTTTCTTCACTGGTTTTTAACCCAGCATGAGACCTCGCTCTGTTTTAGTTGTTTTTATTTGGTCTTTGCTGTTTTTTTTTGTTGGTTTGTTTTGCTATTTCCATGTGCAGCACTTTGTTTCAGCTGTGGCTGTTCTAAAGTGCTGTATAAATAAAGTTGATTTGATTTTATAGTGTCATCATGCTCTACAGTCTCTTCCTCCCCACAGCAGTCACATCTGCCAGTATTATGTTTCCCTGATTTAAACCGTTTGTTTTAATACCTCAGAGTCAGAATCAAAGTGGAGAAAGAGATGAGGAAATCTTATATCCATCCATCCATCATCTCTACACCTTAATCCTCACTAGGGTGGTGGGGGGCTGGAGTCTATCCCAGCTGACTCAGGGTGAAGGCAGGTTCACCTGGACAGGTAGCCAGTCTATCACAGGGCTACACTTAGAGACAGACAACCAAGCACACTCACATTCACGACTACAGAATACCAGCTATTCCCGCTTCTCCTCAACATGTTTCTGGACTGTGGGAGGCGT